CATGTAAAGGTACAAGATCCCAATGATGAATGTAACTGTATTGTATACCTAAAATGTACCAATAAACTTAATGGGAAAAAAAAAGATTGAGAATCTACAGGCTGGAAAGGTTGGGGGCATCCCCAAAGCCCACAGGCAACTAGATCACTGGTGTAGGAAGCCAGGAGTCCAGAGTAGGGCTTGGAAGGCTCAAGTTAGGCCTCTGGGCTTCCATGACCTTCCTTCCCCCATTTTTCCTGAAAATACTGTTCAGTATCCTGGGGCAACCAGGGGAATACCACTTGTCAACGTGAAGAGGATGGACAGAGGTTGGAAGGAAGAGGGAAGCCAATAGCAAGGGGAGAAAGAATGGAAGAGGAGGTGAAAGGAAAAGGGGAAGGAGAAATCAACTGGAGAAGAAAGGACAGAGGACGAAGGAAGGAGGAGGAAGGAAGAGAGAAAAGGATATGATGGGTACTTATCCTGGAGTGTCTACTGCTTTCCAAGCCCTGTGCTACATGATTTGCATATACTTTGTCATTTAGTTATCAGACCTATGAGATTTAAGGAAGTCTTGTTTTTAATTTTTTATTTTATTTATTTATTTATTTATTTATTTATTTAGGTGTTTATTTTGGTCCTGGGACCTTCCGCTTTCGAGGTGCATTGTTTTTAGTTTTTTAAATACAGCTTACACTGAACGTTTTCTGCCTAGTCCCCAAGATCCAGTGTGAGGTAACCAAATTGATGTAGTCTGATACAATGATGCAAAGCAAATGCAGATTTAATCACTAGGTATGAGGGGAGCTAGGGAAGGTGAAGGCTGAGTGTCCACTACGTTATTCTGACTCCAGTCTTAGGAATTCCACTCTCGGTGCTGCACGCCTCCTGCCCAGACTCAAGGCCCCACCCTGCACACTCATTTGCAGAGGGGCAGTGGGGAGAAGAGTATAGTATGCCAAGTGAGTGCTACGGGAGAATGAAAGGCAGCAGTCACTGGCCTCCATGTCAGGAGTTACAACAGGAAGTGATGGCGATTAGGACAAAAAGAACAACACAGGCCACCTTCTGATGGGACAACACTGCTTTGCTCCAGCCCATTGCTGTCATGTGGGGAAGTGGCCTCAGTGTTGCCAGACTGTCTCATCCTTTTCCCCAAAGGCCAGCAATCCAGCAGTCCTTCAGTCAACCTCCTGTGTGCTAACAAAATGCACCCGCGGGTTCTGTCTGCCCACAGATGTGCTGTACCATAGTCGTGTCTTTTTCCAAGTTGCAAACAGGAGATTGATCTCTTGCCTGTGTTGCGTTCTCCTTCCAGGCCATTATGTTTATGTGGACACCTCCTTTGCCAAGCAGGGGGAGAAAGCCGTGCTGCTAAGTTCTGAATTACAGGCTGAGGAATGGTGCTGTCTCCGCTTGGTCTACCAGATAACCGCGTCTTCAGGGTCTCTGTCAGGTCCCAGCCAGCTGAACCTCTATGTGAGATACGAGGATGAAAGCTTTGATCGCTTGCTTTGGTCAGCTAAGGAACCTTCAGACAGCTGGCTCATAGCAAGCCTGGATTTACAAAACAGTTCCAAAACATTCAAGGTAGGTGGAGTTTAGGAGGAAGATGTGGCACTTAAAATGTGTGCTTTATCCTATATACAATCTTGTAAAACTTCTGCCATTGAGGCGAGATATATCATAGGAAATTATGAGTAATATAAATTAATATTCTACTTATTTAAAGAGCTTCTTTGCAGATTTCTCCAACCTATTCAAATGAGATTTCTGTAAGAATCTAAATGATGGCTAAGCTAACCTTGTCAATGGAAATAGATTGTCTAATGAACTTTAGGAAGTATTTTCCTTTCCTGTAATTTTATTTTGTTCTTCTGAATTCTAGGTGGGATATATTTATATTGTCTTCCTAGTGGCTTCATTTCCACAATGTTTGAGCAAGATAGTAACTATAACAAAAGAAAAAATGGAAATATTTTGAAAGAGGAAAGATGCTTGCAGGACATATTCTGTTTCCTTTTCAAAGGGGAAAGTTGTTCTGTCAGAAGTGCTAGAAAAGGAAGGAAAGAACGTAAGAATTTGTGGGTGGACTGGAATAGGGAAGGAGAATGAGATCTGGCTATATTTGGCTGTGAAGTGTGATATTTAGCAAGAATATGTCACTGAGGTCACAAGGGAACCTTCATAAAAACTTTCTCCATTCCTAACTTGCCATTCAGGTCCTGGTCCCATCCCTCTTCTCTGAAAAGTTTTGAAACACTGCATTTTCCTATAGCCCTGTCTTGTTCCAGTCCCTTCCCACCAGGCCGTTGTTGAGGGAGGAGGATTGAAGGTCTGAATTCTCTCTCACACACACACCATCCTCCAAACAGTTATCACTTCCTAAATCTACCAGCATAGTTGCAAAATATCAGGCTAAAACCACAGAAGATACTTTCAGTAGCAGGTCCAAACATGAACTGTAACATTCCTTGAAATCAGCCACATAAATTTTTATGCTTCTGTCTATTCTTTGTGTAAAATAGAAATGTAGAAAACATAGAAAATACATTTTGATTCACGAGCCTCCTCCATTGCATGTGGAGCTCTCCCATCACTCTATGAGATTTGGGCTTCCTGCCTTTCCTCCAAGGGGCTTCTTTCTACCCCTGAGTCCTGCCTTTGGTTTCTGACCTTTTTCAGAATGGATTTGACCAGGGCCTTTTCTCTGTCACCAACTAATGCCACCAGAGGCACAGAAGAAGGTAAGGGTTGGGATAATAGCAGAAAACAGCTGATTCCAAGCTTCTAATGGGACTCTTGCTCACCTCAAAGCTCTGAGGATATACGTATATGTTTATGTGCACATACACACATGTATGTATGCATGCACACACACTTTCAAAAAAGTCCATAGTGAGATTCTTGTCTGGTAGCAATGAGCTAAGGCTGACAATCTTGCTTGCCTTAAACTACTGAGCAGCCCCTGACAGCTGAAACACAGGAAACATTCTATTTTGGAATCTAACACCCCTTCTTGCTTATGTGTTGTGCAGATTTTAATAGAAGGCGTCCTAGGACAGGGAAGCACAACCAGCATTGCCCTCTTTGAAATCAAGATGACCACCGGCTACTGTATTGGTGAGTTTCATTTTCACTGCATTAGAACATGAACATTTTTTCTAAAATCTGCTGTTGCCAGAAGCACTGAATTAATCCTAAAGACCAAGTATACTGTAGAGCACACTGCATAATGCATAGTGTTTTAAATTGTTTGCTAGGGTCACTTGAACGCTGGACATTGTTTCTCTGTCTTTAGTGTAGGACGGCTCATTAGCAGTTTCCTGGGCTGCTTGATTAATGAAAGGAAAGTAAACACAGCCACTGTACACTCAGCCTTGCCACTCTATCCTCAGCATGTTCTCAGATCATTTCTGGGTCTGTGTAAACTCTGATTTTTGTAGCCTTTGCCAGAAAAGCAGGCATGGTGCTCACCGCTTGCCTCCATTCTCTCTTGGCTCACCATTGCCCTGTCTTAATCACAGTTATCACTTAGATTCTGCTTGGGGAGGGTTGGTTAGGGGTCCTGTATGTGCCAGCTTCTGAGAGGGAATGAAGAGAGGACAGCGCCTGCCCTCTGGGTGCTCACCTTCTCCTTGTCTGCCACTGGCCAAAATACAACCAGAGAAGGACAGGGGCACTGTGGAGGGGCGAGTAGGCAGGAAAGGGCTGTCTCTGGGCAGACCCCATGGGGAGAAAGAACAGAACACATTCAGGCAAAGGCAAGGGGCTGAGTCAGGTGTTTGAAGTGTGAATCTACTATTCAGGGAGTCCCTTGCCCGAGTATGGACCTAGATGGAGAGCTTGGGCTACTGAATTATACAGTGTGATATGCTAACAGTCAGCAACAGAGAGGGGTGCAGTGGGGGCCGTGAACTGGAGACAATGAAGGTTATGTGGGTGTAGGAGTTAGCAAAAACCTTAGGAATCCATTGTGATCTTACAGAGGGGACAAAATGAAGGTCTTCAGTTGGGGTTCCGTAGTGCAAAAGAAAAAAGTAGGTAGATCTGAGAGATTTTTCAGCACTGACAGTTCTTGGAGGTTGAATGGATGTGGAAGTGGAGTGGAGAGTCTAAGATGATTCTGAATCATCTTTGCCAGTTCCCTGGAGTCCCACTTCTCCATTTTGTCCTCCAGTCGTACCTCTAGTGCAAGAAAAGGAAGGGAGACTGGGAAAAGGAAGGCAGACCGCTCCCTTCTTTCAGCCTCCCTGTTAGGCGGCATCCCAGGAGACCGGCAGGTGAGACCCCCGACCACACCCCCTCTGGAGTCAGTCTCGCGTTGCAGCGCCACCTGCTGGCTCCATCAATTCACTGAGGCTCTCAAGCCTCTTCCTCAGCTGTAAAACGGGGATGAAATGCTTCCCTGGCTGGATGCCTGTGAAAACCAATGAGATCGTAGATGTAAGGGTGATTAGCATGGCGCTGAGCACTGAAGAAATGTCCATTGCCTTTCTTCAAATTATTTGGTCGCTTTCAGCTTGTTTAAAACAAAAGGAAGGATAACATTTATCTAGTTAAATGATGTGATCACCACTCTCGACTCTCCCTTCCTCGTGGGTATCTGTTCTCTTGGTTCCTCATCTGTAAAATGAGGTTAGTAATAGCACCTATCTAGGAGGGCTGCTTCGAGGAGTAAGTTCATATACAATGCTTAGAATAGTGCCTAGCACCCCAAGGAATAGTTTGCATTTTATTACATTCTACGGCAGCCTTTGGCACTGAATGATGGGCATTGGTTGGCAGGCAATGCGTGGAAAATAAATCTTAAACATTTTCTAACCCTGCCAATGTAAAAACACAATGCTAACTCTACCAGCTAGGATCCTGGCAGGAAGGTGGAAAGCAAGGTACACTCCACGTGAGTAATCTGGGGAAAGCTCATCAAAGAGACCACAGAGGGGTGAGTGCTAAAGGAAGCCACCAATGGAGAGCACTGTGGCACAGGACAGGATGAGTGGTGGCAATGACTCCTGAGCCTTTATCCTGTTTAGGCTCCAAGGGGCAGGGGAGGAGGAATCACTAGAACCCGGAAACCGCAGCTATATGGTGAGGGCTTCTTCAGTAGGCCATGCTGTCAGTAACAAGCCACGGCAACATGGCCAGGAGGAGCTGGGGGAATTAGCTCCGGGTGTCTTGCTCTTCTTACCCTCCATTGACGGAATGCAGTCCATACAGGCCACCCTCTGGAGGACAAAGGAGGTGGAGAAGGGCAGGGTGGACTGAGAGAGATCAGTGAGGAATGGTCAGCCCAATCATCTCTTGTGTTTTTGGTTTTGGTTTGGTTTGGTTTGGTTTTCGGTACCAGGGATCAAACTCAGGACCTTGCACTTGCCAGGCAGGTGCCTATACCACTGAGCTAAATCCCTGACCCTTCTCTTGTGTTTTTAACTACAGGATTATTGGAATCAATGAAGGCACTGGTTTGTGAATTTCTTTTCCCACTAAAGGAGTGTGTTGATGGGGAACAAATTATAGTAAACATGTCAATGCCACTAAAAAGAGGGGAGGGATATCTTCCTCTGCTTTCTCTTCTCTACTCAAGAGCTGCAGAAGGGTCCCAGAGCCACAATATGCCAGCCCTACCAACTCTAACTAGGTTCCTGCTTTTAAGAAAATCAGAGGATTTCAGGACCTAGGAAACATGCCCCTTAGTGCTGGGCATTAGTTCACACTGCCAGAAGAGAAAGAGATGGAGGACTGGCCACCAGGTTGAAAAAACAAAAGTGGTGGCAAAAATCTCTAGAGCTGAGCCTACACATGCCTAAATAGTGCATTAAAATAGAGATGACAAGGGCTGGGGATTTAGCTCAGTGGCACAACTCCTGCCTCGCAAGTGCAAGGTCCTGAGTTCGATCCCCAGTATTGGAAGAAAAAAAAAGTAGAGATGACGAGCCTGGGAGTGTTTGATCCCCAGCGCCAAAAGATAATTTTTAATTTAATTTAATAGAGATGAATTGAAAATGCCCAGGTTGTACCAAGAGCTGATCATGTGCCTGGCCCTGTGCTGGGAGCTGTCCATACTTAGATATAGCCCTATGAGTTGGGGATGTCATCTCCCGTTCAATATGGAGAAACACAGGCTAAGTAAGCTAGCCCCATGGCTAACAATTGGAAAGGCCAAAATTCAAAGGCGTAATGATGACTTGGGAGCCCAGTTCATCTCAGGATCTCTCTTCTGGGGCAGTGGGATCCAGTCCTGGCACAAAAGTTCCAGCAGGCAAAAGAAGAGAGTAGGCCAGACATGGTGGCACATGCCTGTAATCCCAACACTTTGGAGGCTGAGGCAGGAGGATCTCCATGAGTTCAAGGCCAGCCTAGGCTACATAGTGAGTTCAAGGCCAGCCTGAACTACTTAGCAAGACCCTGTCTCAAAAGGCCAAAAAAAAAAAAAAAAGAAGAAAGGAACCTCCCGGTGTCTAAAGGCAGACTCTGCAGTGAGCAGGGTATCCCCACATGTGACTGGATGTCTAAGAAGCAGTTATTTCCTTCTCTCCCACCAGAATGTGACTTTGAAGAGAACCATCTCTGTGGCTTTGTGAACCGCTGGAATCCCAATGTGAACTGGTTTGTGGGCGGAGGAACTGTTCAGAACTCCCACTCTGTCCTCCCACAGGATCACACTTTTAAGAGTGAACTGGGTGAGTTGGGGACGCATGGATTGCTTTTCTCAGGATGAATTCTTCTGCCACCTCCTCCTGACCCCTGGATTGACCTGAGCGTGGCTTCTGTCAACAGAGAAGGGAGGAGAAGGGTGGGTATTGAATGGGTACCAGGAGCCCTGCTGGAAGAGTAGGGAAGAATAAACATTGAGATCGAGACAAACTGCAGGCATGAGCTCCATAATTCAAGACAAGTCCACTTAGTGAAAGGATTTACTTTACCAGGACCTGTGCTGCCACTTTCACTTTTCCAGATTATGCTTTATTTCTTATCTATTTATTGTTTAATCGTTCTTATTTCTAAGAGCAAGCCTAGACTAATCACAGGTCACGTTTCAGTAACAGTAGATTCACAGGTGGGTCTAAGTCCTTAAGAAAGGCCCAATGAGAGCCAGGCCTGTACTGCAGATTACTTCTGAATGTGGTGTTCCGCTGCGCCCCCTGGTGGCCACGTTGGCTGGTTCTTTGCAAGGAAAACGGGAAGGTAAGGTTATCAGAGAACCGGGAGCAGCAGAAAGCCTCCACAGAAAAGAGACAAACAAGGCTTTACTTACACGTGACTTATCACTGCTGTTGTCTGGACTGTGGTAGATAGTGCAAAAGCCTAGGGCTCCCTACAGTTCCATAACATTCCAGTCTTCAAGCCCAAGCTCTTTTCCAAGTAACAGGAAGATTCTGCTGATGGGCTTCCCAGTAAGAATTTTGTTTTGCCGAGAACAGTGCCTTTTTTCTTTTGACCCTCTTCCTGTGGATACTGAAATGATCTACTCAGTCCCAGTAACTTGCTGATGATGACAGTGTGTCTTCATGACAGTTTATGCATCCTTTTTTCTCATTCACTGTAGGTCTTCATCATCTGACTGTTTTAACATATCGCCAGCTGTTTTTCCACAGTGTACTTCTGCAGCTTACCTTGGCTCTGAACATTCTCCATCTTGATCTTATTCTCTTCAATGCCAGTCTCTCTCCCCCTTTATACTCAGAGTCTCAGGCTAGGGGTCCAGGCAAATAGAGAAAGTAATGTGGCAGAGTGAAGACTACACAGACTGCTCAGCTTCAGTGAGTTTGTGTCCTGTGGTAATGTGAGCCTAGTTTGCTAGATCTTTTGATTTTTCAAAATAATCAGAAAGGAAAGCATTTTTAATGTAAAATTTCTCAGGATTTTAAAAGTTAGTGAATATTTTCTAAAAAAACAATACATAGACAAGAAGTCGATTGACTTTTCCTTTCAGCCTTGGTTCTATGCTCTTCCTTTGTGTTTCAACCTTCAGGCTTCTTAGAGCAGCATACCTGTGAGTAACCACATAGAAGGCTCGAATCTCATGGGGCTTGCCTGTGTAAGACAAACCCAACCTTGCGTCTAGAGTTTTTATTCATTCACCCCTGAATGAGGTATAATAGGAGAAATGACAATGAACATGACAAGTCTCCAGGCCACTTCCCAGTTTCAAAGGATATACATTCAAGAAAGGGAAAGAGCTTTCTACCACCAGTGGGCCTCAGACAGTCATATGTGTCAAGTGTTGTAAGAATTGTCCTCATCTACCTAGAAGAGAAGAGCTAGATGCTCAATCACGTACTGCACGGATGTCCTAGAAGTCAGGATAAAGGAGGTAAACTACATTTGAAGGGCAGGTATAATTTTGATAGGCAGAAAGAGAGCAAGAGAAAGAGCGAGATTGATGATGCATGGATGTCAACTACGGGAAGTAATTAGGAGAGAGACATGGCTGAGAAAGCAGTGTAGGGGCAAGTCCTTGACTGCTGGGAAAGAAAATTCAACTTTATTTATTTACAATGGGAGGCCCTGAGAAGCCTTTGAACAGGGGAGAGATGCTTTCATAGCAGCGTATTTAGGAGCATAAACCTGAAGGTGATTATTTCACCAGGCAGAAGACAGAGAGGTAGAACAAGATTACAAGAAGAGTGCTTAACAGACTCTTTCTTTAGACACAGCTGGGATCCTTCAATAAGGAACTGAGATAAGGAAAAAGCAGAGGATTTACTTCCCACTTTAAAAAACAAGGTTTAGAACCTTTGCCAGTAACAAAAGATTGGGGCTTCCCTGTATGCAGCCCATATTTTAATCCTACAGACACAGCCCGCCTCCATGTGGGCCATTGCAGGAACCACACTGGCAATGACTGCTGTGTGTAGCGTGCACAAGTCACACCAATTGCAGCACAGCAGTCCACAAAGCTACATGAGTATTTTAAGTCAGTTGGGTTGATTCAAAGCAGTATCTCTTGAGAACTTTGTCAAAAAAAAAATAAAGCAAGTAACTAAAGTATCTCTGGGAGTTTTAAAAAGAAAAGCAAAGTAACCTTTTCTCTGTGTATTGAACTAAGCTACTTTTAAGATTGTTTTTCTGTCATATCTTAAAATCTAATGCAAGGAATACAAAGGACCTTGAAAAGCCAATATATTCAAGTTGCAATAATACTTGGTATCATTATCACAATTACCTTGTGGAACAAATTTAACCGTAGGGAAGTTTTAGAGAACTTTACCCCAATCACTTAAAAGTTAGTTCCAAATCCTCTGGCTGACCAAAGTCATGGCCCTGTGACTACTTATTCAGTGCATTGCTTTTCCTCCTCAGTGATACTAAGCTCCAGCTGGGGCAGGGAGAGAATGTGTATTCCTTGGGAGGGGCGGCATACCTGCAGGCTAGTGTCAGATTACCCCCTGGACTATATTATCAGAGTGTGATCCATACCCTTAGTCCTTCACCCGTGACTGCAGACCCTTCTGGCCATATTTGTGTCCATGAAGGGTAAAGAAAGCATACAGGCCAGGAGTCAGAATGCTTGTGCTCCAGGCCTGGCTATCAGAGCACTCTCTGATTGTGAGCAATCCCTTAACTTCTCAGTCTCCCTTGGCCTGTTTGCAAATGAGGGATTTGCAATGATTTCCAAGTTGGAGCATTGTGCTCTTCTCTCTTTGCCTAATGCTATACATCAAAATCTCCAAATTCACCACTCATTGAGATCTATTTCAAAAATGTATTGGGTCTCTCCTGAATACTTATAAGCCCATTGCATTTGGCATTAGAAAAAAGAAGTGGGAGAAGTGAAAGAAAGAAGTGAGGAAAAGAGGACCTGACTTCTCTAAAGTCTTGATTAGAAGGGGCTGAGACAGGCATATGGGCTGTCATTTTTGCCACTGGACTCTCTCTGTCCTCCTCTCCTGCTCCCTCCTCTCTTGATGCCCCTTCTCCCCTTTTCCACCCTTTTTCTTCTTCCTTGGATACCCTAAAACACCTCCCAAAGGCAGCCAGCTTTGCTGACTAGTATTGTTCAGTCTCTCTCTCTTTTTTTTTTTTTTTTGGTACTGGGGATCAAACTCGGGTCCTTGCACTTGCACAGCAGACAACAAAACCACTGAGCTAAATCCCTGGCCCAAGTCTCTTATTTTTTTTTTTTGGTACCAGGAATTGAACTTGGCACCTTGCGCTTGCTCAGCAGGTGTCGGAACCACTAAGCTAAATCCCTGGCGCATTGTTCAGTCTCTTGATGTCAGTACTGAGGACTGAAGGAGAAGCTGGCTCTAGGACTAAAGGGAGCACTTCTAAGGAGGGCTTCTGCTTCCCTTCCAGCAACCCCCAGGATGGTTAGTCTAGTTAGGGCCTAACCACCAGATGGAGGCTTCCTCACCAATCACTCATTCATTCATTTCTTCAGCAAACACAAGAAGCTTCTTATAGTTGTCAGGCAGTCTTGCATATTTTGATGGTGCACAAATAGCAACTTCGAAGAGATCATAGGAACTAACTTTCCAAAATACTTTTCCCTGAAATATCAGTTCTTGGGTATATCACTCTTTATATGAAGGAAGAAGAGTGCTACATGGTTGAATGAACTGGAGAAACTCTGAGTTAAAACTAAACAGATCTCTTTCAGGACTTCTTACTGTTTTGAATGTAGTTCCACGTTAATGTGTTCTACAGCATTTCTTAAATTATCTAAATGACAAAATGCTAAATAGACACACACAGTGATGCATGACTAATAGAGACATAAAATAAATTGTACAGACCCACATAAAAAAATGAAAGATTCCCTCAGTTTGGGGTTCATGGAAGACTTTCTGGAGGAAGTAATGGCAAAACTGGAATTCTGCTAGACGGATAAGGAAAAGATAAATGTGGCATAGGCAGAAGAGTAGAGGTGCACAAGCAGATAGGTAATTTCATGTTTAGAAAGTGTTGAGAATGCTAGAATGTAGAATGATGGTGGAGTAGCCTCAGATCCTGGGTTATTTTCCTACTTACGATAGTGAGAAGCTTGGATGCTTATGTTCCTCTTGATTCTTCCTTCTTCTCTGCTATTAACTCCAATTTCTCTTTAGTTTTTGGACTCTAGTTTTTCCCATTTATTGGCCAACACCCTTCTCATCTCCATGTAGCACGCACGCGCGCGCGCGCACACACACACACACACACACTCGTACATGCATACATTCACATTCCTAACTCCTGAACTTCCATGTAAGTTTTTTCCTGAATAGGATAGGACTAAAAAGTGAGTTCTAAAGATTCTAAAATATTTTATTTGAAGAACTCTGCCTATATAACTCAAAGGTTTGCCCAGGATCACTCTTTAAAAAAAGAAAAATCCCAGTGCTCTAAAAAGGATAGAGGTTGCATTTCTTATTTCATTTGCCTTCGACTGGGTGTATTGAGTTTCCCTGAGCTCTATCAATTTGGGTGGCAAAGTAAAGATGAAATGGTTCAGATGTCTGCCTGCAACAGCAGATTTTGCTCTATACGCATTCATCTTGTGTTCATTCACATAGGGGATTGGCTTATGCCTTTGCTTTCAGGTGAAAACTGGAGAAGCACACGGCGGGGTGAGGGGAATTGGGTGCCTGCTGAGGAACATCAGGTGTGTGGCCAGGGCTGATGGAAGTCTCAGGAGGGCACTAGTCTTGTGCTATGGAAAAAGGAACAGTGAATATATATCTGAAGACTACAATAG